ACTCTCATAAAATTTTTCAATGCGCCAAGTTGTTCCACGATTACATGATTTTCAGTAAATTTTAAAAGAAAATTCTCTCCGTGTAGCGTTATTTTTATCTGTTCACGGCATCGCAAAGTTACGCGAGATTCTTGACCGAGAAAAGGATTTCGATTTTTTTGACGCGAGCAGAAGAAGTCGTGGGAGCATAATGACATGAGGAGTATCAAAGGTCATTTTGATCGTGGAAGAAAATTAATCAAATTATGATTTTGAAATTTAAGGATACTGTACGTTATGATTCGCAATAATTTGAACTTGTTCGATTACTTCCGATACTCACAAATGCACTGAGGAAAATGTTCGATTAAATATATAGGGTGTTTCGGATAAGGTGTTCATCTGCTAGTATACAGGTAGGGCGGGTTAAACTGAAAAGGAAAGTTATGTGCCATTTTGTAAAATTCGCAATAGTTTTTGAGTGATAAACAAAAACACCTGGGCGAATGAATGAACGAGAAGCAATAGGCCGGACTCAGCAAGCACGGTTTCGTAGCAACGGTAGGCGTTTGATAGCGGGAGGTGGAGCTTCAGATGGTGCTCACCGCTCGTTCCCCACCGCTACGAGACTAAACAAATAAGCCATTTCATTAATTACTCGATAATAACTATTGCGAGTTTTACAAAATGGTACATAACTTTCCTTTTTTTACATTTAATATTCGGTCAAGGTGTATAAACAACAAGAATAAAGGCTTATTGTCGCCAGTACATAATCAATCAATGTAGGAAATTTTTCGCAATAAATCTTCTCTAATTAGAATCGCCAGTTGCGTCATTTAACAATTTTCCTACGTTGGTTAATTATGTACTGGCGACAATAAACCTTTATTCTTACTATTTAATTGATTTATCCGATGAAAATTTTTCTCAGTGTGTATATGTTAGGACTTAAATATGCATGGTACTAATGGATGGTAATGGAAATACAAAATGTCTGTTTTTAACAAAAATGATTATATATGAAAAAGTGCAATATTCAATGTTTTATAAGATTTGTAACATCGAGCTTTTATATTGTATCTTGCGGATGAAAAATCAGGATATCGGTGCTTCAAAAATTAAACATTTTCGCAAATTCGTAAAATAATAATACCGGCGAGATTTCAATCATTTCACCTGCATAAGCGATTTGCATTATATTTCCATAACAATAAACAAAGGTGTATCTTCGGGAAAATAAGCAGAGATGTTTCTCTTAGCAAAGATTATCGGAAAGTCAAGATACAGTTATAAAAAAGCCAAATTATGTTTCATTAAAAGTGTTAAACGATATCGTCTTGACTTTATAGAAATGAGTACTTTTGATATTACCTTAACTTTCGAGTGACTTTAGATTCTGCTTGAGGTAAGATTTGTATTCTTGGGCTTTTATTATGTATCTTGAATTGTGAATGAGAAATCGGGAATATCGATACTTCAAAAATCACATATTCTAACAAATTTGTAAAATACAACAATATCCGCGAGATTTCAATCATTTCACATGCACGATTTGCGTTCTCTCGGCGAAAGTCATCGGAAACTCAGAATAGAACTATAGAAGAGTCAAGTTATGTTTCATTAAAAGTGTTAAACGATATACCATCTTAACTTTCTAGAAATGAGTACTTTTGATATAATCTTAACTTTAGATTCTGCTTGAGGTAAGATTTGTATTCTTGAGCTTCTATTTTGTACCTTGTGAATGCAAAATCGAAATATCGATGCTTCAAAAGTCACATATTCTCACAAACTTGTAAAATACAACAATATCCGTGAGATTTCAATCATTTCGCATGCACGATTTGCGCTCTCTCGGCGAAAGTCATCGAAAACTCAGACACAGTCATAGAAAAGTCAAGTTGTTTCATTAAAAGTGTTAAACGAAACCGTCGTAACTAAAAGAAATGAGTACTTTTCATATCATCTTGACTTTAGATTCTGCTTGAGGTAAGATTTGTATTCTTGAGCTTCTATCTTGTATCTTGTGAATGCAAAATCGGAAAATATCGATGCTCCAAAAATCATATATTCTTACAATTTTGTAAATTACAACATCCGCGAGATTTCAATCATTTTGCATGCACGATTTGCATTCTCTCGGCGAAAGTCATCGAAAACTCAGAACACAGCCATAAAAGAGTCAAGCTACGTTTCGCTAAAAGTGTTAAATAATCATTTTGACTTGCTAGAAATGATCCCTTTACATCTTCTTGACATTTAAACGACCTTTTTATCCCCGGGACGACAGAGCTAAGCGGAATGATGAATATGTCATGGCATCGCAAAGACGGAATACTAAAATTGCCCGGCGGTCCCGAGTTAAACATAGATGATCGAAGGCGTATCGATCTGCCAATTGTGTCGACGACCGCGAAGCAATCGCGATGGAGTCAATAATCCATGATCCGCTCAACTTGGGAACAGCTCTATTCCGACGTGTAATTGGGATCAGTGCTTATCTGTTGGCGCACACCGTGTTCCAGTCCCGATCTCCTCGCCGTTTCGCCTCGCGCACCCCCCCTTACCTTCTTCCAGGTACCACCTTCTTCACGCGTTACCGTGTGTACCGTGGCAATATTTGCCCCGAGGATTAAATCATCGCGGACCAATTCGTTACGATCCACCCCGATTGATCTTCATCGTTTCGCACGTGATCGAAGGGACCTGGGCCAGCCGATTTCCAGTGCTTCCTTTCCTTTTCTTTCCTTTCGCGAACCACGCACGCATGCTGCTGTCGCGTCGCGAGCGACGGAGCGCGATGCACCCGCGCGTGAGTTGTCTCGTCCGTGATACGTGACGTAAATAGCTTTGTTTAAATAATCCCTGTCGCCGCGAGGAGGACTAGACGGGGACCGGTAACGGTGTGGCACGTTGCAGGTAGGGTGTTCCCGGGCGACGACGAGCGCGGCGGCGGTAATGATATTCAGAACTTGCAGCGAGACGCGCGGCCGCGCTGTCGGGAGGAACGCGAACATTTCGGGATGGATACGGAGACATATTTCAGCGCGCACACGTGCCATGCCACGCCACGCCAGCGCGTGTTGTTCGCCCGATGTGTCGCGCGAAACCAAACTGTTTCGCGTCAGTAAATTCTCGGCGGCACTGTACTGCCGATACAGCGAAATGCCGGGAACGAGTTACTTGAACCGCGCGCGTTGTTACGTCATCCGAGAGATCTTTTCGTTGCGGGGCGTTAAGGAAATCCTAAAGCCGTCTGCTTTATCGACATTCTTTGTTACAAGTAATCTTTTAATTGACTTTATAGAAATGCAAAACTCTTTTACGGAATTAAAGTACATAGCAAAATCTAGACTATGCTGGTCGACTTATATCAGAAACAAAAAAAGAAAATAAAAAAGTTTACTAATTTTCGGTACACTTTACGACAATATTTGCTTGATACAAGAATTCTACAATAAATATATACAAAATAAGACCAGCATACTCTAGGGACAGCATATAAGAATAATATCGTGCAATCAGAACTAAGATTAATAGCCTAAGAAAAAGATTACTTCTAATAAACGCAAGAAATTCAAGTCTAGAAGAAGAGAAAAAGAGCACTGGCGTGTAAAAATAGTTGCAAGCTTCTTCAAAAGAGGTCGCTGTTAAACATCTGTCAGATTGTCAGTAAAGCCATGTGTTGATGATGCTAGAATTCGATCCAAAATCTCGGTCTGAGCAATATGTAGCTAATAAAATTGCTGCTTTCTCGTAAAAGTTGCAAATTGATTGATTATAAATTTCTCGGACCGAGCAGAACTTACAATTAGAATTAAAAATGTCGATAATTGACTTTTTAATTCCGTCTCCTATCTTATCGACACTAATCGAGTTCGCTAACGGTTTTAGGATCCCCTTAAGAGGATCTTTCAGCCATTTTTTTAACCGACACAGTCAAATATAGTTTCTGCGCTTGTAATTCTTTTTATTAGCTTTTCTGCACAAAATAATACCAGGATAAGTTGCGGACCGCATAGCAGAATATTTTCATACTTAAAACACTCAGTTCAGAAGTCTAACAAAAACAGATATTGGTATTTGAAAGTTTCAATTCGTAGTTCTAACTAAATTTGAAATTGGCTTTATAAAATTGCAAAATTTTTCCACACGATTTAAGTACGCATGAAGACAAAACCAGGGACGGTCAACTTTATATGAAAAAACGAAGAGAGATTAAAACTATTACTCGATAATTGATGTTTTTAATTCCGTCTCCTATCTTATCGACACTGATCGAGTTCGCCAGCGGCTTTAGGATCCCCTTAAGGCCCTGCGTCCGCGACGCTGGAACTTGGTCCAAGTTCTAATTCCGAGAAATGTGTAGCCAATTGACGTGCAGCTATTCCATAAAAGCTACACATATCTCTCGGAACTAGAACTTGGACCAAATACCAGCATCGTGGACACAGTCCTTTAGAAATTTCATGTTCCTCTCACGGATCTCTCGCCGCGCCGGGCCGCTCGATATTTTGCATATCTCGTGTCGGAGCCACGCGAGTATACCGCTGTATTTCGTTTGCCGAATAATTTAATAAATCGCCAACTCAAGTTTAATCACGCGCTCTTTGATAATATTTAAGTTTAATTCATTATGCCCCTTGATATCGCGCTAATCGCAATTAATCGTATTACGCGATAGAAAATTTAGCACCGCCGGCCTTTCCGGGCCGGGTCTGCGCAGGATCCGATATGTCGCGCTTTCTACGCGCGGGCCGTAGGCGGGCGGTATTCCGTTTCGTTTGGCAATTAATTTAATCAAGCGTTAATTCGAGCTTTTAATCGTACGAAATTTATCACGTCCTCGGACGTCGCGGCCCTCCTGGTTGCGAGCAGTCGCGTTAATTTTATCGTTGCCGAGCACGATCATCTCGCGATGTCCCTCCGACGCGCTTTAACAGCGTTCGAGCGTGGTCAGACGGTATAACGAAATGTTGTTAATGGGTCACTTAGCATTTACTGTCGCCCTGTTTCAGAGGGACCGAGCTTCAGCGCACCAATAACAAACGTGACGGTCCCGGTGGGAAGAGAAGCTATCCTCTCCTGCGTCGTGGCGAACCTTTCTACGTACAAGGTAAGCTGCCAGGCACACGACACCTTTTAATCTTGCACCGCGTCGATTCTACCGCACGTTTTATAGAAACGTTCGCGCGAACGGAAATAGGTGCTTCTTAGTACGGAAACGTCATGCATTGAGAAAAATTCTCGCCACCACACAGTTAATCATGGTTTGCTAAAAATATTTTCCTGCCGTAAATTTCTAAGCAACAGCAAACGGTTTGCTATCGCATCCAATACAATACAGTAGCAAGATATTCAGCTATCAAGGCTCAATGTTAACTGTCCATATTTAACCGAAGTTAGTTACTGCATGCACGCGGAAAAAAGAATATTCTTCTCTTGAAAATATGTCTAGTTTTAAAGTGAAAATCTTGAATTGAGATTATATTCTGTTAAAGAAAGAAAACTTACTTGAATGAAGTAATTTTATATAATTCAACCAAGAAAAATATGTGCTTATTATTAAACAATGCTTTTCTTGAGAAGAAGTAGTGTTGGACAAAAAATAACATATTTTCAAATCGAAGATTATGATGATTTTATTGTCAAAATAGTTATATTGTATTCTTGAACTG